AAGGGACATGACGTCTCACAGGCTACTACTTTCAAAGTTAAATTTTGTCATAAAATTGAATCTGGATGATTTAAAATTGTGTTAATATTTAACAATTGTAATGTAATAAAACAAATTTAAATGGTTTTGATTAGTATTTTTTTTTATTTATTTTTTTTATTTGATAATTAACCATTTGTGGAACTTTTCAGCCTCAGTTGACATGAGATTCTTGTTTGGCATTTTAATAGAACTAATATAAATAATATGACAAATTAAACATTTTGTACTTAAAATCTAATAAATAAAAAACAAAAAAAACATAAAAGCTACTTCTAAAATCAAAAAATAAAAATTCTGACAACTACTCAATTTGGCTTAAATCATTGGCAATTTTTGCACAAGGGGCGAGAACATTGCAGACATATGGGATTGCAACACGCGACACATGTGTGCACTGTCATTCTGTGCAGTTTGGGCGGACAAATACTGCATGCCCTTCGCTTCCCCTGACTAGTTTCAGGACTTTGGATATCTTCTTCAACCATATCTTCACCCAGTACTCGCTTTATCACTAGCCGTAGCTCCCTTGGTAATTGACTGCATACAACACGTTTCTGCATTTGGGGTAGCACTAGCGAACGAGCTAACGACTTTAAAAAAACTCCTCTGTCTGTAATCTTAGGTTGATGCATATTGTATAATATATAGGCATTTATACCGCTCAAGTCCACAATGCGGTAGAATACCACCATTGGCCACCTTCTCGTTCGGCGGCTGCTGGAATAATTGGAGCATTTTTTATCTGCTTCATCAACGCCTCCTTTTGTTGAGTTATAATACAGAATAATTTCTGGTATTTTAGTATTTTCGTCAACTACTTCATTATGATGCATTGAAGACACAAGTATCACAGCTCTATTCTTCTTAGGCACATGTGAGCAAATAGTTTTTTGCTTTGTAAAACCAAACAATGATGACAGGACATTTCTTTTTTTTTGCGGCTGAAATTCGCTTGGTATTTCGCGTTTATTTTTTTTCAAAGTACCCACATAAGTAATTTTATGTTTTGTCAACTCATCAATCAGCTCTATAGAAGAAAACCAGTTATCAGCAGTCACATTCCGATTGCTTCCTTTAATTGGTTGTATCAACCGAAGGACACACTGAGTAGGCACGAGAAGTTTTTGGTCTTGTGTGGTCAAACCGATACCATCAGAGCCTTTGCCACTATAAATATATCCATTATAAAAATAAGAATTTTTTGCATCACATAAGGCTCGTATGACAAGTCCATATTTTCCTGGTTTTCTCGGCATATAAGAAATCATATGACTTCTCCCTCGAAACTTCACTAACATCTCATCTATAGTGACGCATTCACTTAATTCGTATAGCTGTTGAGAATTGTTGACAAACTTGTTGAAAATAAAAGATATAGCTGCCAACTTATCATCTTTTTGCCTTTCAGCGCGATCATCTGGATTATCGAAACGCAAACAAAGTAATAAAATGACAAATCTATTTTCTGACATGCAGCATCTAAATATGTCACACCCGGTGCCATCCCTAGCAAATAAGTAACTTGTGCGTTCATGGTTAGATTTCAAAACAGCTGAATATAGTAAAAGAACCACAAAAGCCTTCAGCTCAGTCATATCTATGTCTTTCAGTTCAGGTTTATTTTGACGAGCAAACTTTATTCTATAAATGTTAATTTTTTTGTTTGTCCAAGTCAATATTTGTTGAAGCATTTCTTCATCAAATAATTTATGCCAAATGCTAAAAGGATCCTTGGCATCTGCGTCTGTCAATTTCGAGGCACAAGCATGAGTTATGATATTATGTTGAAGTGTGCGAACCCTAGCATTAGGAGGAGTCTTTGACCATTTATAACGATTTTTCCCGTAATAAAAATTCGATCTTCGTAATTCCGAAAGAGGCCTGTCATCATCAGAACTATCGGTACTACCTTCATCAGAACTACCAGTGCTCCTCTCATGGCTGCTATACACTTCTGGAATATTCTCCTCTAAATCTTTATCTTGGTCACGTAACTGTAATAGTTCACGATCGGAAACCAACAACTCGTCAATATCATTTTCACTGGCAGATTGGTCTGAAGCCAGCAAGAGGGCATTGAATTCCTCTTCAAATGACGGACTGTCTACTCGTAATATTTTTTTTTTTGATGAACTCGTGGGTTGGAGTTGATGTTTCTTAGCGTTTTTAGCCATTTTGCACTAAAATGAAAAAATACTGTGAAAAAAATATTTGTATGACAAATAGGGACATGTAGCCTCACAGGCTACATCCGATTTTCTAATTAGTATTACTTACCGGTTAAACTACGGATGACACATCTGCTTCCTTCCGCGGTCGTTTGAGCACTAAAACAAAAGCTACTGAGACGCTGGGTTGCGGTAAGCGAGGGGAAGTGGTCAATTCTGAGAATTTGCTAAACACGCGACGCCTG